GTTGATGATTCCATCCATTCCTCCTCCTCCTGTCAGCCCTTCGTCAGGACATCCATCCGCACATTTTTCCCTTCCTTCCTTTCTTCAAACGCTCAATCAATCATCTCAATCTGACTTCTGTAAAATTATCTTCTATAAAGTATAAATATATATATATATATTTTTAAAGTAATGTTTTCTAACTTCTATGCATTTAATATCACAGATTAGGTTGTTTCTGATGTTGACAGTGACGTTTTTTTCTTTTGAAACACGTTTGTTTGTGTTCTCCTTTGAATAATGAAGAGAAAACCGAGCCAAAGCATCCAATAAATTCAAAGTGTGTCAAACTGAATACTCTCCTGTCACATCTCCAAGGATTTTCAGTGCACCAGTCTCTTATGTAAGATGGAACATTGAGAGAAATATTCATTTCGTGCAATTGTGTAAACGGCCTAATCTGATCTTCTGGCGAAACTGGCGCAGGCAGAATGTGTCTCTGTGTGTAAAGACAGAGGCAGTAAAAGCTGCCTGTTTTTGCTCACAGCAGGGCTTCTGCCCAATGCCTGTTACAGCATTCATTTAAGAAGAAAAAAACATTTGATCTTTTTCTCCTCTGGCATCTCTTATGCCTGCCTGTAGTTTTATATGACAAGCATCTTGCCCTGCTTGATTTAATAAAAAAAATCAGTTAAACCAGTTGTGGTTTATGAGAGGCAGCAGGCTTGGTTACATACACTTATGCACCAGCTCAAACAGCCTTGCCAGATTGAAGAGGCGGGGCTTAAATTACTCAGTCTGACCCTGGCAACCCTTGCATGGTGATGTAACTCTTGGCATAATAGTATCTCATGTTTTAAGATGCATCAAGGTGCTGTTTTTCTTTTTTTTAAGTTTTTGATTGCTGTTCATGTATATTCAAACTTGAAATAAAAGGTACTAAAGTATAGATGCACTTCTAGACTATTTGATATGAGGATGTTAAGAAAGTGCTTACTGTGTCCTGCTTCTTCCAAACGCTGCTGTCACATCCTGTAAGTATGCCTACGCCATCTGTCCCTGCAGCACCGCCTCACTCCTGCTGGCCGCTGCTGCTGCGGCTGTTTTTCAGATGATCCCCTGAGCTGGCAGCAGAGAGATGGTTGAAGATAATTTATTTTTCAGTGTTTTGCTCTGAAGCTTGGTGGGCATCAGGACTTGTCCTGAGTTGGAAACATACAGAGATCTCAGTAAATTTGAGCGTTATGTAACATTCTTAGAGCAATGCCAGCCAAAAATGTGGATGACATATCTACTATAGATTTATTAGTCATTTTATTGAATTGTATAATTGTGTTTTTGTTAGATTTGCTTAATGCCTAGAGCCCGGAACTCAGAACCATGTCATCTGCTGGTTTTGTCAGCTCTGTTTTATCATTTACAAAGTAAAGGCAGGTGTTAAAAAAACAAAAAAAAATGATGGCACTTCATGCTGTCCTTTTGCCAGATATGCAAAATGCAGAACTTGGATTCGCTTCACTCCCCAAAAATACCAGCACCAGGTTTAATGACCATCCATGTGATTAATGAATAACAGGCTCCTCTTAGCTAAACCCCACAGACATCTTTGCATGAAAGATGAAAGATTAGCGATACCAAAAGCAACATGTCAGATGAGCTGAAGTCTGTTGCTAAAGCTCTTTGACACCTTAGTAGAGCCACAAACTGATTGCCTCCATCCTACACGTCATTCCGGCAGTAATTCATGCAAAAGGAGCCCAGCCAAAGTAATCGGTTAATACACTGTACAGTGCATGAGCATCTTCTTAGGAAGCCTTATGGTTTGGAATCTAAATGGTGAGCATTCCTTTGCTTTAAACCATCATCCTCTAATTTACACAAATTATTTTGTTTCTTTTTTGCATTAAATTTGTGAAATAAACTAGCCGGTAATGTTCTAACTTATTCAGATGCATCTTTTTTCCTACTCTTATTAAAATATGTCTCAGGGTTTGAAGAACCTTTGTTGGCGAACCCAACAAAAGATTGTCGATGAGTTTATCTTTTTTTGGCCCCTGTTTTACGCCTCAGATTTAATTTGGGACTAGGACTAGGGCTAGCAATATTTTTGATACTATTGTGATTATGATAGAATTGACTATAAATACACTCTTTATTGATTCATTTGAGTCAGTGTTGGTAACTGTATAGCTCTGAATCATGCCACAGTAACCACAGCTCAACAAGCACTAACACTATTCCTAAAAAAAAAATATATATATATATGTTTAAAATGGGAATCTTTGAGACATGCGTTACATTAAGAAGTGTGATTTATACCACTGAACATCCAGAAGTAACCGCATTTAATCATATTCTCCATGCCCTAATGGAAACACTGAAAGAAGAAAAATATAAAAGATAAAATTCACAATTCACCCATTTTTTTTATCATCACTAATTTTAAATTATTGTTTAGACATCAAATCAAAATTGTGATGACTACTAGAAAATTATCTGCATAATTGTTAAGAATACAATAAGTGCCCACCACTGTAAAGGACCTTTCTCAGATCAAATTTACAAATTGTTTAAAGAAGAGCGTATAAACCTAAAAATGTTGTTAGAATAAAGGATTATCCATCCAGACTTTAGTCCGTTCCTAATCCAACCGTGTCTTTGTCCATTATCTAAACTGCGGTGCAGCCATTCCCCCTCCATGCTGGCATGAAAAGCAGCTATTCAGACCTTAAAAGTTGTCTGTTAAAGAACAAACAAATCCGGAAATTTCAGGTTTAAAAAATGTGAAATTATGACTAGGGCTGCAACTAAAAACTCTTTTGCAAATCGATTAATCTGTCGATTCTTTTTAGGGTTAATTGATTTCTAATCTGATCAAAATGTTCCTTAAAGAAGATTTTTTGCTAAATTAAACCAGGTGGAACTAGACTTTTTCACTTGTGGAGTTCTGGATAGAGCATATTGACAGATTAAAACTTTTTTTTTTAAATCTTAAATTAAAAATGTTTATATATTTTTTTAAACAATTTTGATATATCTAATTGGGTTGCTCTGTCAGCTAAAGGCATATTTTACAGTTTATACTCCACTTAGTGATTAATTAATTGCTAAGTTGAAGATTATTTCAATAATCGATTAATCAGGATTAATCTGAAATAATTGCTTGCCCTAATCATGACTCCTCCTTAGTTATTTACCCTTGTATGGTAATAGTCCTACGCCAAGCTAAATATTTACTCTAAAGTCAGATGAGTCAGTCTGTAGTCTCATAGGGTATGATGACTGACGTTATGATTTTTTACAACTGTGTTTTCATCACCAACTCATCCCTTTATAAAGGAAGCTGTGGAAGAAAAGCATGGCTGCTAAAAGCAGAGAAGTGTCCCTGTTGGGACAAACCGACTACTATCAGAAATAGATGGCTTTTCCTTGTCTAAATCTAAAAAAAAATAAATACCCAACAGGCTAAGATATTGTGTAAGCTTTGTGATATCTTGGTTTGAATGAATGTCTTCTTATTATAGCCTCATACTGAGTTTGTTTTGCCACACTCAGTGTGAGCGAATCAACAGCCGTGGTTATTTAGATTTCATGAGCCGTATTATCTCTGCCAAGGAATACATACGACATGCTCAGTTTATTTAATTATCGTCAGGGAAGCCCATAAACTAAATACATGTTTGCATGTTCATATAGAGCTAGGATGGAAGAAGGAATCATGATAAACCTGGGTTTATTGCATTAACTGTAGATATATGAGCAAGTTTAGAAAAAAATAGTTTGAGAAAGTATTTTCTTGCAGCCATTCCCAAATTTTTGATGACAAAAAAAAAAAAAAAAACTCAACAACTTCAAAGGGACTGACAGAAAAGGACCTGCATGTCACATCTCAATTATACCCCAAATATGCAGGAATGAAAAGTTAATAGAGGCTTAAATTAACTTTAAGTATACAATATAAAACTACTGGAGTTAGATCTACTTTATAGGAACTTAGTATTGCTAAACATTGTGACACCTGAGCTTTTGTAAACAGAGCACTGTTTCCTAATTTGATTTGTTTGAGTTTTTAAATACTTTTTGTGTGTCAGACATACATTGACATTTGTTATCACTTTTATCTTAAAAATGGAGGAAGATAAAGTAATATTGGCTTAAAGAATCAGTCCCAAAAAACCAGATCAAGGATCAGTTGGACCGATTTTAAAATAACCAGTATGGGTCTTAAAAAAAAAACAATTTTTAGACACCATGCCCTTTTAATTTTCTGGCCTAAAATTGTTATGTTTCCGCTTTGAAAGCACAGAGAAAAATGTTTGTGATTCTGGGCACGTTTTTGTGGCTTTTAAGGGGAAACGATGGCCTTGTTTCAACTTTTAAGATAATTTTAATGGACTTTTTCTCCAAGTCAGCAGGCATAAAGGAGTTGCCAGATTTTCTGCTCCATACAGTACATAACAGAGTTTTAGTTTCATTTTCTCCTATGAATTGATTCATTCTCGTTTTAAATACTTAAATACTTATTAATCTTATGTTTCCTACTTCTTGCTGCTGGATTCAGGTTAAAAAAATAATGGTTTTCTCTGTGGTGAATGCAGTGCTGAGAAATGTCATGGCCTGCAGGCAGTTTCTCTACAAAACTGGAACATTCCCAATGCCGTAGGATTTCTCCTTTAGTCTGGGTGTTGCTCCAGGTTTGGGGAAGAATGGGCTTTGCAGAGAACAAACTGAGGAAATGCAGCATATGGTGCTGGATGTATTTCATCTGTCCTATCTTAATGGATGGAGAGGTTCTGCTTTTCATCTGCTTATCGAGGAAATGATTCTTAGACCTACTGGCTGTAGATTCAGTTGGGATAAAGACCTATTTGTTCTTGCAGAGACACACTGTCGCTGAATTAGCATTTTATCAGCAGCCGCTGTAGAACAAACCTATTGGCTGACATTTACTGCACTTTTTTTAGCCATTTTTCTTCCATTCTTTCCCTGCCTGATGGTATTTTTTCTTCCCCTCTGTCTCTTTCAAGTCCACTCCTCTCCACCTGGCAGCAGGATACAACAGGGTGAGGATAGTTCAGTTGTTACTGCAGCATGGAGCTGACGTCCACGCCAAGGACAAGGGGTAAGCATGACAAAAGCTATTTAAATCAAGTTGTAGGCAAAGACAGAAAGCGCCTCTCATTGATGTTGTCCACAGTTGTTGAAAGAAGCACATTATTCTTTTGGTTTTAAGACTTATTTCATTTTATAAGAAAAGAAATAAGATTTTTAATTTTTTTTTATTTGTAAAAATATTTAAGAAAACAGATTAAATTAATTTTATTACACATCAGGAAACCTTAAAACCTTTCTCTTATAACCAAACAGTTCAAGGCTATTATTTAGTCATGATCCCCCCATACAGGTTGTAAACTTTATGCAGTCAGCAGCTCCAGCCCTGCAAACTTCATGTGGCCTCCAGATTACCTTAAAGAGCTGTGTGTAGAGAGTTTTATTGGATGACTCATAATGGCATAACAGCTGCATCTAAGTCTTATCAGCAAATGCAACGTGAAGCTACAAAAACGGTAAAATAAAGCTCTCCACCAGTGAACATGAGCAGTGGAGGGATATGCTTAGGAGTGACGAATCATCGCACTCTGATGATCCACTAAACAACGCTATATTTGGCCACACCTGCCTGACTCTTCTATATCAGGTGTAAAGCTTGGTGCAGAGGAGATGGTTATGGTGTGGGTTTGACTTTGGGAATCCATAAGTTCATACTTTTAACTTTTTGCGAACATTTAGGGAACCGTTCCTTTCTGTCTCATCATGACGGCCCCAATTAAACAATGTGGTGTCGTACATCATGACATGGATTAGCTGGCTTATTGTCAAAGACCTTGACTGTTTAAACACCTCATTCCATTAGAAGATCTTTGCAAGATCCTAAGTGCAGCCTGGAGGGAGGAGTCGGGTTTCCCAGAAGAGCTTGATGCACAACATCACCTTAAGGCTGAGATGATAAAACAATATATAGATGAATCAATTAGGAGAGCACTAACAGACCATTTAGCTAGCAGTTTCCCACCCTGCAATCAAATGTGAGAGATGACGACTGTTCAGAAATCTGCTCCTTATTTAGCCTCTCATTTGCTTGCTGTCTCTTTTGTCTTTGACATTAGCGGACGTTAAATAACAACAGAAATTTGAGAATAACTGTTAACATTTATGAGGTAATTTCAGTACTAAAGAAATGCAGATGTTATGTGATTTTTTTATGCAGGTCAAAAGGTGCAAACAAATAGTAAATGATGTATAGTTTCAAAAACTTAGACAACTTTTATTGTCACAATCATGTGATGCAAATTCCAGAACACCCAAGCACAAAACAAATGCAACAGAAAAATGCAGCAAAAAAAGGCGAAACAAACTGCAAACAGGTGCAAATGGCAGCAAATGGCTGAAAACACACATATGATGCAATATCCAAAATATGCAAACACAAAAACAAAGGAAAAAGAAAAACACTGCAAACATGAATTGCTGTAATCACTAACAATAGGAAGAAAAAAACTACAATTAACAAAAAATGCTACAACCGCAAACAAAAAACTGCGAGCAAATGCAAAATGCTGCATCTTCAGAAAGAAAATGATACTTGATGTTTTGGAGTTTGCATCATAAATGTTTTTACATCTCGTTTTTTTGTCATTTGCTGCGAGTTTGCACCTATGCAACCGTAGGTTTTTGCAAATTAGAAAAATAATTTTGTTGTTTAACAAAACCCCAGATATGTAGTCCACTGGGCTCAGTGTTGTTTTACTTTTCTAACAATTGGATGGAAAACCTCAATATATTTTGTTCCAGTATTCAGAGCAGCATTGTTACGACCTTTGGAAATGCTTTATAAATTCAAGAGAAACATCATTTAAGATACATTTTTACTAAACAGTTCCTCATGTTTATCTTTTCCAGTGGTCTTGTGCCTCTACATAATGCCTGCTCTTATGGACACTATGAAGTCACTGAACTGCTGCTAAAGGTAAGAGTTCTCAAACAAACAATCACATCAATAGATTCTTTTTTTGCGAAATGAAAATGTAATTAATACATTTGTTCAAAGGCATTAAGGATCCACTCCTCCATTTTTTTGTGTTTCATTTGTAGCATGGAGCTTGTGTAAACGCCATGGATCTGTGGCAGTTTACACCTCTACATGAAGCGGCTTCCAAAAACCGAGTCGAGGTCTGCTCTCTTCTTCTGAGCCACGGAGCTGATCCCACCCTGCTGAACTGCCATAGTAAAAGCTCTGTGGACATGGCTCCAACTCCTGAGCTGAAGGAGAGACTCACATGTGAGCCTAGCTGAATGCGTAGCTGGTGAAACAGCTGTTGTTTTAAAACAACTGTCTCTTTAAATTATGCCTAAACCTTGAAAATATCTGTTATTACCTGAAATTATTTTTTTTTTATTTGACTTAGTTCCTCTTTTGCACTTAAAAACATTGTTTGCTGTTTAAACTGTTTAACAAAGCAACACATACTGTTGTCGTAAAACGGAAAAGTAAGAATAGATTCCAGGATTATTCCAGATGAGCTACAGCAGATAATAGATTTTAAAGAACAGATGCTGCTTTAGCTCTATATTAAAACCCCCCAAATAAGCTGTGCTCAGATTAAACGGTTTTAAAATTCGAAAAGAGGTTTGATGTTTATTTGCTCTCAATGTGCCTTCAGATGAGTTTAAGGGCCACTCGCTGCTTCAAGCGGCTCGAGAAGCAGACATGACCAAAGCGAAGAAGACCCTCGCTTTGGAGATCATCAACTTCAAACACCCCCACACACATGAAACGGCGCTGGTGAGATCGAAACCTGCTCCGCTCACAGGCTGACACCTTGAATTATCTGCTGATTTCTTCTCTCTGCTTTTGTTTCTGTTTGTTAGCATTGCGCCGTCGCCTCACCTCACCCCAAACGGAAACAGGTCACAGAGCTGCTGTTGAGGAAAGGTGCCAACGTCAATGAGAAGAACAAGGAGTGAGTTTTCTGTTCACATTATTGTGCTGTTAATGAATACAAAGAGTTAATTTTAGATTTGCCCCAAAGCTGATTTATTTCAGAGGAGACAATCAGAGATTTCTTTTTTGATCTGATAAACAGTAACAGTTTGGTCTCCAGTGTTTTTTAAGGAATTAATGAATACAGTGTGATGTTGGTCCAGGATCGGTACAAAGACTTTTAAAAACCCTTTTCAACCATATGTATTTTATTTTTTTTTTTTTTTTTTTTTTTCTAAGGATTTTTCATCCTCTTGCTCACAGGTTTTGTCTAACTAATGCTCTAACTCTAATGTTTTAAGGATAACGATTAGGGCTGGGTAAAATAATCGATTTAATCGATTTTGAATCGATTCCTTTACATTTTTGCAAAATCGATGTCTAGGAAATGAGATAGATTAGTTTTATAGTGACACGCGTGACGTTCACATTCAAATGAGCAGGAAAGATGCACTCAAATTACTTCAAGCCAGACAGCTGCAAATTTAGCCAATAGGTTGATTGAAGACATTAAAAAATGGAGGCTGACCATCAAACACCCTGTAGTTGTTACAGACAACGTTGCAAATATGGTTTGTGCAGTGGAGATAATTCAGCTCATGCATGTCTGTTGTGTCCCCACTGTGTCACGTCTGTTTGCTCAAGTGAGGCCTTTTCACTTTTCACAAACAAGTTTGCAATTTTGAGACAGTTTTTTTTCACATCTGAAGTTTAAACTGTCCGATTTACAAGTTTGCACTTTGTGTTTAATATGACAGGAAAAAATAAAATACATGAGTGTTTTGAAACACAGTTGAACCACTTTCATTATTGTAAAAACAGATCGAATTGAAATTAATCAATTTAGAACTGAATGAATAAAAATCGAATCGATTCAGGACTTTGGCGAAAATACCCAGCCCTAATAACAATGTTTTTTTTTTTTTTTTTACCCACACTAGTCTTTTCAAGTAAAGCCCTTCTTTGGCTCTTCAACTATTTTTTTAAGGACTTTAAAACCACACACACCCCTCCTATGACTTTGCTGTCATCAGTGTATAACAACTGAAAGGGCAGAATTCAATAAAATATATGTTTTTCTTAATTGGACCAAATTAGGAATTTGAGAATTTTTAAATGTAATTAGAATCTAGGACTAAGTAATGCTAATTTTAGACTAAAATCCATAAGATTTGGCACATGTTTGTTTTTATTCATATTTGTCTTCATTGTAGCATGGCCTGTTTTTCCTTTGCCAACATTTGTAGTAATTGCACACACTTCAAAATGAAAATAAACAAGTGATGAAGACGTAAACATTGCAGCCTGCCATAAGGCTGCACTGGGGAACAGAGATATTTTATCTCAATTTAAATCTATGAGGATGCAGTGTTGGAAAAGAGGAAGATGTGTAACTGCAGCTCAGTCAGAGGAGGTTGATCTTTACCTTGTTGTGTCTCCTATCCTCCCTAGTTTCATGACACCTCTTCATGTGGCAGCAGAGCGGGCGCATAATGACATTATGGAGGTGCTTCAGAAACATGGTGCAAAGGTAAGTGAGTCATTCTTTAGCTGATAAATGGATAAGCTGCCATCTTCTCTCCATGAAATGTCTATATCCAAACCTTTTTTTTTTTCTTTTTTTTTATGTTTCATGTTAACTCTTTTTATAATTTTAAAAGGAGTTCCTCGAGTTTCCTAAAATTTATTGTTAATTGACAAGATTTCTATATATATTTTTTTTATTTTAAGGTGAATTTCCTCCACATGATCTCCATCGTTTGCACAGGAAAAGTTTCTGTGACATTTAATTAAAGAAACCGAGGCGGCTCTTTGAAAAATCCTAACAGTGAGATGTTTGTGTGTGCAGGTCAACGCCCTCGACACGCTGGGTCAGACGGCTTTGCACCGTGCAGCGCTCGCCGGCCACCTACAGACCTGCAGGCTGTTGTTAGGATACGGGGCGGACGCCACGCTGGTGTCACTGCAGGGTTTCACCGCCGCTCAGATGGGAAATGAAGCTGTGCAGCAAATCCTCAACGGTATGCTGGGCTTTGTGTGGGTGGGCGGCGTGGTAGCTGGAAGAGTACACGTGTAGGACGTGCTGGGGTTTGGTTGCTAAGCATCAGCTGCTGATAGGAGGATTAACCGGAACTGTTCTGTAAAGGTCGATATCGATATTTTCTCTGTGAAAGTGGTAGGTAATCAGGCTCTGAGCGAGCCGACTAGGGATTGGAGAGACACCATATAACAAGTTCTTTTTCTGATTAAAATGTTCGTTTATAATGTCATAATTAAACTTAATTAGACTTAATCTGGTCTAAACCCCTGATAATTATTCTTGTTTTTACATCATTGTCTAATGAGCATAAAGGAAAGTACAAAATGTATCCGCTGTAATGAATCATTGCCCATGTCTGAATCCATTCACACTTTAACTGTGTGAAAAGAGATCAGGATATATTCCCTCTTCCCGTCCTGAAACATGTTTTTCATAGTTTGAGGTTTTTTTGTTCAGTCCTCCTACTAATGTTTGTCCAAAGCATATGCTGCTTCACAGCCTCCATTGATCTTCTGCTCCTCTGCAGAGAACGTCCCAGTGAGAAACTCAGATGTGGACTACAGACTTCTGGAAGCTGCCAAAGCAGGAGACCTGGATACTGTCAAGGTGCTTTTATTTATTTAACATTGCGTTTCTTTTTACCGACTTATAATTTGAACTCGGTCTAAGTCACAAAAGTATCGGTAAATAAGAAACTCTGAGCTAGAGGGATAAACACCCATGACATATTCGTCATGATTTTAAGTCCAGGTTAATGTTTAGATTCTTAGAGGTTAGGAATTTTAATTTTTGTTTGGACTGTTTCAAAAAAAGAAATACCGTAATTTTCGGACTATAAGCCGTGACTTTTTCCCCATTTTTTGACCTTGCGGGTTATATAACAATGCGGCTTATCTATGGACTTTTACAGCTAACTAGGGTAATATCTTAATCTATGGATTTTACCATCCACCACGTTGACGGTACATTTGCTTTAACACACAAGTACGGTGGCCGCGTGCGCGAGAATGCTGAGGTCCTCCGGAAGCAGACTTCTACCGCGAGTGGTATGAGACAGAACGACGGCGAGAAAGACGGACATTGCGAGCGCAAGACAGTTTGTGTTAAACATAAAAAACCTGCGGCTTATAGTCCGGTGCGGCTTGTATATGTACAAATCATGCAATTTAGCTTCTGCAGCTTATGTTCAGGTGCGGCTAATAGTCCGAAAATTACGGTAATGGAAAGAGAATATAGAGGTCTGTGAGAAGTGAATTAATGCTCTGTAGCAGCTGGGGGACCATAATTCTGCCAAGGCTGTGCTTTTCAGTGGGTATGTGAGTCATGGAAGAAATTTTGATTTCAGAGGTGGGGGCGACGCAAGTATTTTTAATATAACTAACTTCAGGGTGTGTGACCATCCAATCAAAGACCCGATTCAGCGGAGCATCACCGCTTTGTAAAGTGAGCTTCTCAGGAGTGACCGCGGCGACAGCCTTTCACACAAGAAAAGACGGTGGGCCAATCAAGAGCTTGTGGGCGGTCTAAACTCAGGGCAGCTTTAGCTTTTCCGCTTGGTCCTAGTGCTGGATGAATGGCTGTGTAATGTAGCGTAACATTGTATTTGGACAGTCAAAAGTGCAGGGGTGCAGACACACACACAAAAGGATGCTAGCTCCACAAAAGGATGCTAGCAGAATAAGATGGGCAGAATAATATTTATTATTTATTTACATAAAACATTACAGAATGCTAAAACATTGTATAGAAAATATTGAAGACTTTTCTTGAGGAAATGGATACGTTTTACACTCTCTCCGTTGTATTACGTCACGTTATCATTTGAAATGCTCAGAGCAGTCAGAGTAAAGCTCAAATGGCTATTTAAGTGTTATACTTTTTTCATTTTTAGAATATGCAATATTTACACAAATACAAAATATTCAAAACCCACCGGAAAAATTTAAAAGAGTAAAAAAGTAAGAAAACAAAGTATTACCTACCCGGAAGTTATTCTGTTCGCGCATGCGCAGGACGGATCGTGCTTCCGGGACGGATCCTTAGTGACGAGCAGTAAGAGCTGCACTTCATCGGCTCTTTATTTCCGTTCTGCAGGAGTTGAGCCTAGTCTGCTTCGTGAAATCTTCCTTTAACCATGACACTTCCTGCTCTTTGCTTCACAGAGTTAATAGAGGTTTCTTTTTCTTCAAATGGATATTTGATTTATTCTAAATATGGTTTATGTTCTGCTGTCAGACGACCTGTCCAAAAACATCATTGGAGAAGTTCTGGGTTTTGTTTTCTTTGGCCTTCATACTTTAATTTTAAAGATTTTCTTTTTGTTCACCTCTTATGTAAATTAAACAAAGGATTTTTTTTTTCTGTATAAACATTAGCCCAACTCTGCTTAAGTTTCCATTAGGATATTTCGGGGTTTATTTTGCAGTCCATCTTCATTGTGAATGAGCTCAGACAAACTGACTTTAAATCCTTTAACAGACTCCTAACCTGCTGCAAACTCCTTCAAAAAGCTGAGTGACGATGTTCTAATCATGCACGCTTGATGGGGTCCGTCTTTGTGTACTCAGCTGTTAACACGTCTCTAAAATAAAAAATAACAATGTCCTGACCTTTGCAGCTGTTGTTTCTACTCCCGAGGCGTTCTGGCCAAAGGGCTCTGATAAATGCCAATTGATTATTCTATCTCAGTTGAAGGGTTTTTTTTGTTTTTTTTTCTACCTGTTTGATTTTAAGAATAACGAAACCTTTATTCTCATGATTGAAATTAACCTTTCTACACTTCATTCTTTTTCAATAATAGCGAACAAAAAAACTGCAGAAACACACACAGCTCCGCAGTAAGAGAGGAAAACTGACGCTTGATTTGTTTTCACCTTCATTCATTGACAGTAGTTGTTAAATGGGTCAAAAAAGGCTGTGAGGCCATAAATTCTGAGGATTTGACAGATCAGCAGACATTTATTGTAACCCACTGGATGTTACCTAAGGTATGATGCAAATACTGTCATCCGTAAATTTTGTATGCGTTTAGAAACCGTCGCTGTCCTTGATGACACTTGTTTACACTAAACTTTTCTGAGCCGAAAGTAGCTCAGCTAGTGTTACTGACAGACCGGTGAGGCCTGAAGGATCTTAAAGTTGGAGCAAAATATCTTTCAGATCCAAATAAATTTAGAAAAATAAATCAGGATATTTAAAAATGTTTGTATTTCTAGAATGATTTGCGTATCTTTTTGTTAAGAGCTAAATTTATCCTGTCAGTAAATGTATTTAAAAGGTAAATTTCTGAACCTACTTTAGGAAGAGAGGATTAACATTAAAACATGGATATTCTGCTATTCATTGATCTTTTCATTCATTCATACATTATTTAAATGACCTAAAGAGGATCTGTTTCGTTATCCGCTATTCATACATCCAGCTGTTAGTCTCCTGTAGATTTATCGATTTTGTTAAACATCTGTTGGTTCCTCCACACCAAGTGGAAAGATGTTTCCATAAAGTCCTGCTGAACTGTGGGTTTAACACCCTGATGTTAATGAAAAAAGAAACACAAACAAATTTTTTCCCCTCAAAAAGAGGGATTCATGTGTTTTTCTGCTTTATTCAGAGACATTCAAATAATGTTAAAAATCATATGTATTTCTTATTGTGAAGCTTCTTGTTTTCATCCGAGTTAAAGTCCAAAAGGTTTCTCTGAATGCGTTATTCCAATCACTCTCCAAGCCTGTGTCTGTATTAGTTTTACTGTGCACGCCGCTTATATTGACATACTCTTTCTTCCCTCTCCTGTCCGTCTGCAGTCGCTGTGTACTGCTCAGAATGTGAATTGCAGAGATCTTGAAGGACGGCACTCCACTCCTCTCCACTTCGCTGCCGGCTACAACCGAGTGTCAGTGGTGGAGTACCTGCTGCACCACGGGGCTGATGTGCACGCTAAGGATAAAGGGTGTGTAAGATTGGAATAAAATATCCCGTTTTATGTTCTTAGAGATTGTTAGTCATCTATAACCACCTCTCCTGCAGCGGCCTGGTTCCCCTTCATAACGCCTGCTCATACGGTCACTATGAGGTGGCCGAACTGCTGGTCCGACACGGCGCCTCTGTCAATGTGGCCGACTTGTGGAAGTTCACGCCGCTTCACGAAGCAGCAGCGAAGGGCAAATATGAGATCTGCAAACTGCTGTTAAAGGTTTGTTTTTTACAAATCCTTTTTTCCTTCAAACCTAATTCAGGTCTTTTAATGCAGGTTTGCTGTTTTGGATGATTAAATCTGCTTCAGGCAGGAGCTGAGATCCCATAGAAACCTGCCTCTGCTCAGCAAATCAAGATGACTTTGAAGGAGAAGCAAACTTACCGAAGTTGAATCTAGTCTTATAGCTTATGTCGGTAGGACAGTTAATGTTTCTGGATAAACCTAAGAAACTGGAACTGATGATGTTCGCCAAGAGTTTTGATGAAAAACATCAAATTTCCACATCTCCTTTAGCCTCTCTCCATTTCCTAAAATGTTTGCTGTGATTATGTTGTGAGCAGAGGGTTGCTAAATCTGTAGATGTTTCATTAATGTGGAAGACATTTTTACCCCAGTCTGATTGGCTCAACCCTTCTAACTGCGTGTTTTCCGTCATATGTCACTGATAACTTTATGCAGACGTTTGTTAAAGACTGCCAAGGCTGCATAGGGCAGCTTCTGCCTCCTGCAGAAGGAAAGGAGTAAGAGACTGAAATAGATTGAAGGTTCATTAACAGTCCTGGTTCAGGTCCAGACATAAATAAAAAAAATGTCACCTCAACCCTTGATAGGGCAAGTTACCATTTTTGATCACTTGCATAACCCTTACAAATGGAGTCCCCCCCATCCCTCAATGAGTTCTAGAAGCACAAGATCTATATCTAGCCATTCAGCAAAGATACTAATACATGGCTGTACATCTTATTTTGGCATTTGACCAATTAGATGAGCTCTTGAATGATATATTTACCTACTGTAAATTAAGTTGAAAAAAAAATTAAGTCAAAAAAAAAGGTGAAAAGTTAATTGAAAAGTTAAAAAGTTAAGTTAAAAAGTTAATAAGCCTAGTTAACAATTATATTTAGGTTTATAAGCTAAAAAACACAAGTACCAGTATCAGCATTAATGCCTCTAAGTTAATGTTATACCCAAAAAAAAATGTTTCTTTCACTCTCAAAGTGTTTTTCATAATTTTCTTACAGAAACACTTTTGTTAGTTTTCAAGTTGGCATTTCTTGTTATTATTTTGATTAATTTTTCCATCAAAATATCCGTATTTTTTAAACGTTACAAAGGTAATAAGGTCTCGTCCTGGACTCCAATAACACTATTGGCTTAAAATTCTGATTTTCAAAGTATTTCACCCTATAAAGGGTTAATTTGGCCTGAATTGCTTTCATAAAGATTATTAGATGGAATCAAACAGCACCATGCAGTTGGAGCGGATAATTCTGGGGAAATATGAAGAGTAGAGTAAGTCTGTCGCATTAATGGCAAACAAATGCCTCCTTAGTGTGTGGCGGTTTGCAGCGGTAGCCAGGAGGGGATTAATCCCTCACAGCTTTTCATCGCCCTTCCTCCCAATTTTCCCCAATTTTATTTGCAGTAAACGATTTCAATTGGCAGCTAAACAGTCCCACAGCATCATGTTACTACCACTGTACAGTATTCCTATGTTTGAAAGCCTTCTACATAGATGCTTTCTACTCCTGATTCCATGTAGCTGCAGGTTATTAAGGCATTTTTTTCAGTGTTAGTTTGAAATATTTTCTCTCCTGTAATTTTCTTGAACATAGAATAAATCATTTTGGGATCCAAACAGCTTTGAATCCAGGTGTCTAAGATGGATGAATGGCAGGTCCAGAACTCCAACAGACACCCATGGGAGTGGTCCCACTACATTCAGCCTTAATAAGGACATTTTAAAGCTTAGGATGAAGTGACAGGTGAAACTGAAAGCCTGGGAAAAGCTGAGGAATGAGAGCGTCTGCTTTCTCTCCCTCCCTGGTGGTTTCTGCTTCACTGAGCATCTCGTGTGCACCTCTCTGCTTTTTATATTCCCTCCTCTTTCTCATCTACTCCTTTGTAAAATTCTCATGTCTTCATCTTACTCATCACCGGTCACCATCTTATTCTTATTTGAGTGGTGGTTCTGGCATTTGAAACATTTCTATTTTTAGATTGGAGTTTTTATTTTCATGCTTTTCTGAATAATGAGATTCACCAAATGTAGACTAAAACGTTGGCCTCTTTTTTAACTTTTGTAAACTCAATCCCTGGGCTTCCCTACCTTTAGCATGGAGCAGATCCAACCAAAAAGAACCGAGACGGTAACACGCCCCTGGATCTGGTGAAAGACGGCGACACGGACATCCAGGACCTGCTGAGAGGAGACGCTGCGCTGCTGGACGCTGCAAAGAAAGGCTGCCTCGCTCGGGTACAGAAGCTATGCAGCCCGGACAACATCAACTGTCGGGACACGCAGGGACGCAACTCAACGCCGCTGCACCTGGCAGGTAATATCCCACGAAAAGTGGTGGTGAAGATTCTCAGTCATCCAGGTCATAGTCATTCCAAAAAGGTCAAAAAACATTCCATTGGACTTTGTTTCCAATTCTAAAGACTTTTCGCTTCCCATCCAGGGAGCTTTTTCCAATTCAAAATTTCAGATATAGGGTTGAGTTTTGGCTTAGAAAACATGCAAATGGAACCGGACGAACAGGTCCACCCCTTTGGAATTGGGGTTGTTTGGCTTCTTTTTTAGCCTGTAATACCCAATACCTGTCTATGTCTCTTAAAGGGGGGTCGTTAGAGGTAATTGTTGGTCTGGCTGAATAGGCGTCATCTGTAAGGGGGTGGGGGTAGCAATGATGAAAGAAGGAATCAACTCAATCGCTGAATTGTAGGTTTTTGACAGCTTAAATCTGAGTCCACCCGCTCTGTTTAAGCTTGTTTTTTCTTAACATAGATGGCTTCTTTCACGCTCCATTCAAACCACCTATTTTCTTTATCCAAAATGTGAACATTTTGGTCCTCAAACGAATGTCCTCTGTCCATAAGGTGTAGATGTACTGCAGAGTAGTCCCGAGGAGGTCACGCTTCTGTGTTGGGCCATGCATCTGTGGAGAGGTTTTTTTGTTTCTCCAAACTAAAGATCAGAGCATTCCTCTCTGGACTGATTTGCACACAGCACTCATATTTGGTCTGGGGGCTTGTATTTAGGATGCACTAGTCTCTGTTTAAGGGAATTGGGAATCAAATTGGTGGTTATAATTTACAGGTTCGGTTATACAGGTGTCAAAAGGTTTCTAATGAACCAAAGATTAGAAAAGATGGTAAAATCAAGTTCTAATGGATACATAAAGAAAATACCTTACATCTCTTAACCTGAACCCATGAAACAGTAATTTTGCTGTAGAAATGATGGAATTAAAAACCTCAAACATATTTATTAAAATCAGTTTTTCCCACGATCATTGCTCCCCAAAGTGTTTTTACTTTTGTACACTTTGCTTTGATCAGCATTTTCCACCCATGAATCGATCTGGAAAATATTTGCATCCTCAGGTTATATCATGCATTCTTCTTTCCTACTGTGCTTCCTTTAGACCTCTCCTTCCATCTTTCCGTCCTTCTCCCTTTTGTCTCTCCACCTGCCTTTCTTCTAGTCCATTCCTTCTTTCTTGTTTCCCTCCTCTGTGTGTTTTTGTCCCTTCTTTTCTTTGAAAAAATTTAATAAAAAAATGTAAGAACTGCAGTGTTTGGATTGCAGCCATGAACACGTCCCCTTTAATACGTCAGAAGGTAAAAGTAGATTATGTTTTTTTCTGTCAGTCATTCTGTCTCTTTGAGTTTGTCAAAGCCACTCTTTGTTTTCTGACGCTGCGACTTGCTAACAGCCAGGAAGTAAACATTTCCAAGAAGCAAAGGTCTTCAAGATTATTATCATATCATATTATTGTCCAGCTGCCTGACTTATGTTGCTACATTTAGATCCTTACTTTTTTTTTTATTGATCTTTTTACTGATATTTTGTCCAAATGTAATTTAGATTAAAATAAAGGAAAAAAAACAGTCATCTGAGCTGCTGCTGCATTCTTGGTCCAGCATTCTTGCAGCACTTTTACACAAATGCTTGAGGGCATTGGCAGCTTGTACACTTTATACCTGAAATATTAACCACATATTTTAATACCTACTTTTAAAACATGCGCTAATTTGCCAAATGTTCAAAGATGAACATTTCTGTCGAGTTTATAGATGAGGTGAGTTGATCTGGAATAGTCTGGTAGCCTCACACCAGATAGAGACAAAGTTTGGCCTGAAGGCCAAACAAACACATTGTTATGTATATATTCAGAATCTGTAATCATGGTGTCATCAGTTAGAGCGATAACAGATCTGTTTGTTCTACTAGGACACCTTACAGACTCCAACAGGCACAGCAAATGAATAATGAGATTCATACCTTAGTGATCATCTGTCCCTGAGTGAACTAGAGAATGAGGGCAGGTGTTGGAGAAAGAATTTTTTCTTGTATTTTCAGGAATAATGAGACTAAAAGTACCTTTTTTTTGGTTGTTAGGTTAAAAAAATAAGATATTTGTGTAAGTGTCCATCTTATAATATCTTATGGAAAAAATGTAAGCATTGGCTTAATGCATGCTTGAAATAGAAATAAATTATTCTTTATAAATATCTTGCAAAATTCATGAGTTTTCGTTTTTAAAAAGAGCAAGTTACTGCTATTGTCAGGGTTGGTTGTGGTTTAGGACCCAAATGCAGAGGCAGAGAGGCTGAGGTGATTTCTTGTGGATTTAATTGAAGAAAAAAGTAAACAAAGGCAGGGATGCAAAAATCCAACTAATAAAGAAAAGCAAACCAGAACTATGGAGACATCTGGGGAAACCAAACACTAGGAGCCAGTGAGAGTCGAGGTAGGTGGACAACAGCATGGGAGGACAGCAAAGACAAGGAACCAACAAAGAATGAGAGCAGAGGGAGAGCATATATAGCAGAGAGAGACAAAGGGAGGGCTAACGAGCTGACAAGGAGCAGGTGTGAGAGGAGACAACGAGGGAGCCAAGGGAAAAGGAACACATACACACAAGAGGGCAACAGAGGACAACAGAAAAACATGAGAACTAACAAATCTAGAATTTACAACAAAACTGTAATTAAACCAATAAAATTAGAAAACAAGGAGCAAAGTAAAGAACAGAACCAAGACCATGACAGCTATAGAGTCTTACTTAACTGGACTAAAAACGGAAATGGCTCTTTGGTTGGTGAGGGTTGCAGACCCCTGATCTAATCCTATAACAAGTTAATTTATAATAGATAAATGTTTAGTTTATGGTTTATTTTTTCATCTATAGCACTTTCAATTTCCACCACTTGTAAAATATCGCTGATCCTACAAGCTTTTAGAATCTCTTTAAGAAATGTGATTTTTTTTTTTTTGGTTTTGTTTTTTTATTTATTTCTGGAATGAATAAAAAAGTAACACTGTGTTCATGATGAATTTGTTGTTTCCATAGCTTTTTTTTTCATGTTGAAGCAGACAAGAAAATGTTTTCACACTGCAGCCCGTAGTCGGATATTCTAACAATTTGTTATCAGACTTCCTTGTCTCTAATTTCACGGTTTTGTTGTTTCCACTCTCCTCCATCTTGTCTCTCTATCCCCTCCTCTGCTCTCCTCTGCTCTCCAGCCGGTTATAACAACTTGGAGGTTGCAGAGTATCTGTTGGAGCATGGAGCCGACGTGAACGCTCAGGACAAAGGAGGATTGATACCTTTGCACAATGCAGCTTCATATGGGGTAAGACAATCGACACATAAGACGTTTTGATCCGTTTTATCCTAATTATCCTTAAACTTTACTAATCAGCTCAGTGATCCAAGCTTGTTTCTATCTCAAGGTCAATGCACCCGCTCTGTGATTTAAGATTAACTTACAAATCTGTTTAATGAGCCATAAAAAAAAAAGCTATTTTACTACAGTCAATCCTTAAGTACAATAAATTTTTTCTGGAATCCAGCAAATATCTACAAATGGTTGATGGAATATATGTGACATTTTTGGAGGCTTTTATGCAATCAAGCAAAACAGATCAGCGATAACCATAAAGTGGAAGTAGAACATGTAATTAACTGCTTAAAGCAAAAGGCAAGAGGTGGTAAGAGTTACTAAGAAAGGCAGCAAAAAAACCTCATAGTTACTCTGGAGGAGCAGTGGAGGTCCACAGCTCAGGTGGAATCCTCACCTAACTATTACAACCATTATTTACTGAAAACTTTACTGAAAAAAACAAACCAACACAATACAACAAACCAAAACAACACGGTCTGAAAGATGAAGGAGGCAGCATGAGGCTTATTGAGCAGGGAAGATGGTTGGAGTTAACAAGATGATGTTTGGAGCGAAAATGGTAGCCTAGTTATAATAAATGCTTTAGTTAAAGTCCAGGCTTAAATGAGATTATGTGGCAAATGAGGAGCTGCTTCTCAGACACTTCCCATCCAGTCTGACTGAGTCTGAGCTATCTTTAAGAGGTAATTCAGTTTCTAGATGTTCTACTCTGATAGATCTATATGGTAAGCCAGAATAATTGAAGCTGTGGGTGCAGCAGAAGATGGTTTTATAAACGATTCACCCAGGAGGTAAACACATTTACAAACATTTGATAAATTCATTGTCTTCCACATGACAATTATGCATTAATTTGCCTCCTAATAGGTTAATAGGTGTAGCATTAATGTCAAAAGTTTGATGTGATGAAAGTTAGCAAACTACTGCAGTTAACATCCAATATCTTGTCATTTTTCTTCGTCTTTCCAAACACGTTTTTGTGCACAGATTGTCTAAAGAATATGCAGGATTTAGCTTTTTTATTTCTCCTCATCCACATTCCCTGGAGGTCTGAGTGTGGCTCCTGTTTAGTCAGTGTGGTGCTGCTGAAAAAGTAATGAAACACATGTTTGCATGAAAGCTTTATGAGCTCTGCATTGTTGAAGACAAACATAAACACACTAGGGCATCCCCCTCTGTGTCTCACAAACAAGTTCCACTGTTTGATGCTGAGAGAGGAAACCGAGGACAAACAGAGGAGAGGAAAGACGCGTAGTAAAACAAGAATCATGGCGACAGTTGCTGATTATGTTCCACATAAAACCACATTTTACAAATTAAGTTTGCTCATCCTGTCGCTTCTCTCCCCCATCTAGCATGTGGACATAGCCGCCCTGCTGATTAAGTACAACACGTGCGTGAATGCCACCGACAAATGGGCTTTCACCCCCCTCCACGAAGCGGCACAGAAAGGCCGCACCCAGCTCTGCGCCCTGCTGCTGGCTCACGGAGCTGATCCCACCATGAAGAACCAGGAGGGACAGACGCCGCTGGACCTGGCTACGGTAATGAGAGCCCACACAAAGATTTCTGCCAGTATAAATCTAAATTCCCTCCCATCAGGACCCCCGTACTGGTGACACACTGCGAAATATAACTAGCTTCAGCTAATGTGCAGGTAATTAGAGTTCACTATTTTTACCTGCAGTGCACCATCGAGGGAGGATGTAAGGGTAAAGATTGTTCATGCACACTAATGAGGCTTCCTAACTTGGCTCCTGAGGTACCATAGTTTGCTGTGGACAGAAAACCATTACTGCTGATACTAAAGGGCAGGAGTTTCCAATAAATTAAGCAATTTAAAAAGTATTCATGAACTTCTTTAAATCTTTGCACATATTTTCATTGATTTTCATTTGTTTTTAAGGGGATAGATTGACAAATGGTGGTCAAAAGATCTAAAAAATATAATTTCTTTGAAAATTATGAATAGAAATGTAAAACCTGTTTTGTGGTTTATTGAACAACTTCTGATTAAATACAGCTGTAGTTGTTTCGAATCGATTTTTACTATTTTAGTTGGATTGTTCAAGCTTACAACCATTTAGTGTGTGATCGGGAATATATAAGTATCCCTGCTTTTTTTACTAACGATATTATGTCTTGACTTTCACTAGGTGATTCAAACACATGAAAATGTTGTTGAATCTGAACCGCCCCCTGGTAGCTCTGTATTTTAAGGAATGTCTCGATGTTGAATCTCTACTCCGGTCTTTAGAAACCGCCAACAAGTTTTCCTCCTTGATTGCTCCATTAATCTGCATCCATCCTCTCATCTACTGACCAACATCTGTGTCTTTGCTTTAAAGCCAGCATCCCCACAACATGATGCTGCCACTACCACTGTTTTACTCAGGATGCACTGGCAGCTCATAGTATTTTGCTTGTTTGAATTAAACTGCTTTCCTTTAGTCTCTATTTTATCCAATGAGATGAGCTGTGGATCTGTGCTGCTGCTCCAGTGTTAGCATTTACTGATTCTCTATGAATGTCAATTGAAATCAAACCTTCTAGGTTTGTGTTTTTACAAATCTCTGGTTTCAGATGATCAATCCACTTTATATTTATATAGCACATTTTACAACAAAAGTGTTTCTAATGTGCTTTACATAAAAACAAAAGAAACGCACACAAAAAACAGAGTTTCAAATGAATACATACATAAAAAGGACACGGAGCGCCACACTATTACGCAGTGTTAAAAGCCAAAGAGTATGATAAACCAGATGATAAACCAAACAGCACTCTGTGATATGATTACTAGTGTTGTGTAGTGACCTAACCCTGCTTTAAAGTTCTGCACAGCTTTGCTGCCATGGTTCTTTGTCTTCGTGATGCTAGGTTTTATTAAGGGGTCTCTAAAAACGTCTCAATTGCTCCTGAAGACAAAACCTTTCAGCTTCCTATTTGAAAAGGATAGATTTTTCTCCCGCTACTTTAAAACCATGTGCTATATTATAAAGTCCACCTTTTTCCACTTAAGGCAGTTAGCCAAAATAAAACCCATTATTTTAAAACAACATTTTGAAACAGTGATCCATGCATTTGTGACCACACGGCTGGATTACTGCAACTCACTTTATACAGGGGTCAGTGATTTGTATATTTCCCAACTTCAGAGGGTTCAAAATGCTGCTGCACGTCTTTTAACAGGTATACGAAAATTCGACCACATTTCTCCTGTTTTAGCTTCCTGGCACTGGCTGCCAGTACATTTTAGGATTGATTTTAAAATTCTTTTGTTTTTAAAACTCTTAATGGCCTTGCCCCTTCTTATCTGTCTGAGCTGTTGCATTCTTACACACCCTCTCGTTCCCTCAGGTCAGCTGATCAGTTGCTTCTGAGGGTCCCAAAGACAAAATGCAAGCTCAGAGGAGACCGTGCTTTTTCTGTGGCAGCTCCTAAGCTATGGAATGATCTGCCTTTGAGCATAAGACAGGCCTCTTCTCTTTGCTATTTTTAAGTACCTTCTTAAGACTCATCTTTTTTCCTTGGCTTTTTGCACAATTTGAGAGGTTTCACTTTGTTTTATTCTGTTTGTATACTAATATGTATTTTATACTCGATCTTTTCTATTTTATAGTTGCATTGTATTTTATGATTGTGTACAGCACTTTGGTGCTGTCTGGTGTATAAAGTGCTTCATAAATAAAGTTGGTATTGTATGGTATGGTATGGTGTGCTACATTAGGTTGATCTATTCCTTAAAATCCGAATAAAGCACTGGTAATATGCAGTTCAAACAATAAAACACATATGGAGAATATTATTAAACATATTCTTTCAATATTTTCAGCATTCTAGTGCAATGCACTCTGCAGTCCTAATCTTTTTTTGTTTCATAAATATAACTAGGATATCTGACTTACGTTAAAAGAACAACGATGGAAGCTAACTGTTTGCAGACCTCCATCTTATCACTCTTTCTCTTTCTTGCTGCTGCAGGCGGATGACATTAGAGCGCTGCTGATTGACGCCATGCCACCAGATGCCCTGCCGAGCTGTTTGAAACCGCAGGCCACCGTGGTGAGTTCCCGTCCACAGAGTTTTAAGTGAGAGCTTGCACATAAAGGCACATAAAGCAGGCAGGTCTCAGCACAAACGGCGCTCTTTAGGAGCTGAAGCACGGCACTAGAGAAGCAGAAGAGCATGACATCTGAGAAGATTCAAGTTTGAACTCTAAAGACGGTTTAGTTGGGAGTAAAGGATGTAAATTAAAACTAGTCGGACGTGTGCAGTGAGCAGAAGTGTATGAGATGAAAGCAGCAGAGCCGTCAGAGTTCTTATTCCTCCTGCCATCAGTCAAATCATCAGCTCAGCTGCAGGAGATGAAAGCTGCAGAAACTTCAGCGGAAGTTTTGAACTACTGGAAGCATGCATCCAATGAAATGATCAAATCTTCCTCCTTTACTCATGCAGGTGAGCGCAGGTGTGGTGAGTTCGGGTGCAACAGGAGGTGTGGTCATCTCTCCGTCTCCATCTCCTTCCTGCCTGTCGGCGGCGAGCAGCATCGATAACCTCACCGCACCTCTCGGGGATATCGCAGCGGCCGGGGCCACTGGCGTTGCCGACGGAGCGTCTGGCTCTGACAGGAAGGAGGGAGAATGTATGTAAAAAAGCAGCGGTGGAAAGTTCTACCTTGAAAAATAATTGCTTTAAAGCTTAAAGTAGGTTAAACAAAAAAAATTGTTTTTTTAATGAGACCTAGATCAAAATGATTTATCCATTTCAGACTTTTGAAGTGCTGAAATAATAATGATTATTATCATGTTGATTGTAATTGTATCATCTGTAAGTCATAATATTGCTTCTCAGGTTTGTATTTATTACCTGAATGAATGAAATATATTGATGGAATAAGAAGAGAAAAAAAATATATAATAAGAACAAAAAGGAAAAAAAAGAAAAAACTAATCTTCTAATAGTATTATCTGTGAGGAAAAGATTTAAAACATTAATTCCTACGTAACAGTCATTATAATAGTAATGCTGATGATTACTAAATGCAGATCTACAGGATTTAAATGTAGTTTAAGTTTGATTTGTTCATGTTTGAGATGCAGGAAAACATTGGCATACAATTGGTTCCTGTTTCAAGGATCCCTGAGGCTCTTTTCTTGATCTTCCTGATCTGAAATGAATCTTCCTTTGGGATTTTTCCAACTCCGACTTTCTGCTCTACATAAATTATCATTAAAGCTTTCATCTTTTAATGTGGGATTTTAGCCTCTGGTCAGCCTACTGATGTCTTTGCCTCTGCAGCGCTCCTCGACATGACCATCAACCAGTTCTTGAAGAGCCTGGGCCTGGAACACCTCCGAGACATCTTCCAGAGAGAGCAGGTAACCCGGAAAAGATCCTCATTCCTTTCTTGGTTCAGAACCAGATATTTCAGGATTTTTTTGGCTTGGTCATATAATCTGCTCCAATTGTTTGCTTCCATTTCATATTTCTCATATTTGTTGGTGATACAGGGACTTAATCTCCCCTCAGAAATAAAAAAATAAATATTTCAAATCACTCAAACCTGAAAGCAGTAATTGTTTTTCCTGTCATTTAAACATTTTAATTGGTTTTTCTGCATTTATTTACTACGGTTTGTTTTTATAGGCATGTGTCTGCCAACCTCATGGTGTTCCTATCTGCCACATCTGCAGTTTGTTTTAGTATTAACTGGAATAAAAAAAAAAAATCTAGATGGCCCAAAAAAGGCGGGGGGGACAGATGGTAAGAGGGAAAGAGGAGAAAATGAACAGGAGGAGAGGAAAACAGACATTTTCAACAGAAAAAAAAAACAGTTTGACAGTTAATAGATTCTCTGCAAATGTACGTAGGATGTGCTGATTTATTCCTGTTATCAGGCAGGAACTATCTCCAATCTGATCTGCCTGAACAAACTTGCAGAGCAGGAAGAGAAATTCCCAGTTATTTATTTGCATATCAGTTGTGTGATTACTGCCAACCACTCGGTGACCTTTTCTTCCTGCCTCCCTTCCTTATCATGAATATTTGTCAGGCCTATTTCCACTCTAATACGTCACAAACCTCTCTAACTGTCATTATTAATGAGCTTTGGTTATTTATGATCAGCCTCAAATGATGTGTATGCATGCATTTGTCAAATGTGCAGCTACTGTGTGGAGGGTAGTCTCCGTCTAGTAGTACGGGCAGAACTGACGAGGTATGTTCACTGTCTCCGGGCAGATTTCGTTGGATGTTTTGGCAGACATGGGCCACGAGGAGCTGAAGGAGATCGGCATAAATGCTTACGGTCACAGACACAAGCTCATTAAGGGCATCGAGCGGCTCCTGGGAGGCCAGCAGGGTCGGTAAAATTCACCACACACTAATAATGCTTAATTACTTGTTTTATGAGCAGATGTTCCTGCTAAATGTGGGAGCTTTGATGAATGTCACCATTATCTGAATCTTAAAGTCACAGTTTGTGGTGAAAGTTAAACTATTTACTTCTTTATAGATGTATGCTTATTTATTTTATCTGTCTGTCCATCCAACTAACTATCCATTCATCCATCCATCCATCCACCCATCCATTTAAACATCCATCCATTTAGACATCCATCCAACCTCCCATCCATCCACCCATCCATCCATTAAAACATCCATCCATCCATTTAACCACCCATCCATCCATCCAACCTCCCATCCATCCATCCATCCAACCTCCCATCCATCCATCCATCCATCCATCCATTTAAACATCCATCCATCCATTTAACCACCCATCCATCCATCCAACCTCCCATCCATCCATCCATCCAACCTCCCATCCATCCATCCATCCATCCATCCATTTAAACATCCATCCATCCATTTAACCACCCATCCATCCATCCAACCTCCCATCCATCCATCCATCCAACCTCCCATCCATCCATCCATCCATCCATCCATTTAAACATCCATCC